GGTGAGAGCCCCCGCCGACCCACGCGGAAGCCCTGCTCTCTTCCTGGAAGGCCTGCCTGGACTCCCCGCGCATGCCTGTGCTGTCATCTCAATGTCAGGCCCCTGTTGGGGGTACTGTCTCTCTGTCTCTTTCTCTCTTCCTCTGTCTTTGTCTCTCTTGCTCATGGAAGAAATAAATAAATAAACTTGAAAAAGTTTAGCAGTTCCCCGTCACCCACAGGATAACGCGCAAAGGCTTTAGCGTGGCCTTCGAGGCCTGCTGCAGTTTGACTTTCGTACGTTTTTCCAGCCTCGTCTCTTTTTTTTCTTTTTTCTTTTTTTCAGGTTTTTGCCGTAGGGCACATGCGCTTACCAGAGAGAGACAGTGAGAGGGAAAGCGAGAAATCACGCCGGGGATAGCCAGGCCGCAGTCCCCTCCCCATTCTCTTCCTGGGATTAGGGTGCACACGTACATGCCCAGGCTGCATTCCCACCAGGCCGCTGCCGGCCCCCAGCCTCATCTCTGACCATTCCTCCCCGCTTCGAATCTCCTGGACCGAGGCTTTCTCATGGTGCCCTCGGATCAGCTGCCAGAGATCGGGGCTCTCCCATGACGAGAGTCCACACGCTCCACGCACACACACATGCCCCTCGAGCCCACTCATCAGTCACAGCTCCCCAAAGTACTTCAAGTTCCCACTTGCCATGTGTTTGCTCCAGCTCTGGGGGACGTCTGTCTGTCCTGCTGCCTGACCTCGAACAGCTCCGTGCAGGAGCACACTCACGTGGCATCGGGAAGCCCACACTCCAAGCTCTCGGGCGTCTGCAGCCATGGCGCGTTCTCCCCAGGCAGGCTTACAGCGATACCCACACATGCATGGGAAGGTCCCTGCAGACGGGATTCTGGTGCTTCCCACTGAAAGCCACCCAAAGGTCCCCCGACAGCGGAGTGGCCAAGCCGACCCCGGGTACCCACACAGTGGGACCCGGTGGGCATGAACGCGAACAGCACCTGGTACATCCAGGTGTGGGGGACTGTCCTCTCGCTGGCAGATCGCTGAGAGGAGCTGGGCCGGGACGGTACAGGAAGCCCAAATGCAGGCGGGCCGCTCTGTCACCATGGATGTCCGAGGTGGCCGTGGGGAGATACTCACTCTAAGGGGGCTCCTGGGATGCCAGCAAAGTTCTGAGTGGTGATCGTGGGAGAGGTTGCATGGGTGGGTGGTGTGCGGTGGGGCGTCCTTTCCGGACACTTGCCGGAGCCCCGAGGCAGGTGGAGTAGAATCTGTGGGTACTGCAATCGGTCTGCCCGCCTTCCCTGTGCGCTCCCAAGCTGGCCGAGAGCTGACCCACCACTGTAGGCTGAGCCGGACGTGCCCTTCAGGAGGCTGCCTGGCGCCGCCCAAGCAAGCGTACAACTCCTGTTCCTTCCACACATGCCACGTCAGAATCCAGGGATCCGGGGTCAGCAGGTGGTGTGGTGGTTAAGGTGCTGGACTCCTACGAGGAGGATGGCAGTTCAAGTTCTGGACCCAGCGGCTTGAAACTCATGCCAGGCACGCACGTGTGCATGCCCGAAATCCCAGGAGGAGAAGGGATTTTGGCGTGGCCATCCTCCCTGGGAGGTGATTTCTCATTTTCCTTCTCACTGTTTCTCCCTGACTCTCGGGCAAATGCATGTGCTCTATGGAAAAAAACTCATTAAAAACAAAGAAGAAGAAGAACCCAGGATTCCACCAGGCCCCCTACAGCTCTGCCTACTCCTCTCTGACCCGAGGATAGAGGCTTCTGGCACCTGGAGCCCTTGGGACCTCACCATGTCCTCGGGACCAAGAGAGAGGCTGCTCCAGAAGGTGAGGATCCACCTTACTCCAGGGCCAGTGGGGGCCAGGGGGTGAGCAAGAACCCTGACTCTGAGCAGCCAGACAGGCCAAGCCCTTGGTGTTGGTCTAGTGGCCAATGGACCCTGTGTGGTACTGAGGTGGCCAGTGGACCCTGCGTGGCACTGAGGTAGCCAGAGGACCCTGCGTGGCACTGAGGTGGCCAGAGGACCCTGCGTGGCACTGAGGTGGCCAGTGGACCCTGCGTGGCACTGAGGTGGCCAGTGGACCCTGCGTGGCACTGAGGACAGTCGTGGACACAATGCTACTGAGGTGGCCAGTGGACCCTGCGTGGCACTGAGGACAGTCGTGGACACGATGCTACTTAGGTACCCTGGAACACATGATGGTGGCAAAGCCTGAGTCTGGACAGCCAGATGAACATGAGGCTCCCAGAGCAGCAGGCGTTACCGACGACCACGACCCACCGAGGCCCTGACTGAGCACCTAATCTCGGTGCACGCTGTCAGGCGTGGTCCTGAGCCCTGGGTCCCCACACTTCCTCTTCTCACAGCGGGTGAAGGTGACTGCACCTCTGCCTGTTCTGGTGGTGCCAGTACCCTGGGGAGAGCTGCCAGGCTGGCTGACAGCCTCTCGGCCCTGGAGCTCAGCGCCAGCTCATCGCCACGTCCCGGCCGTCCTGGGCTGGATGGTGATACTTCCAGGACTCGGGTTTGCCCTCTCGCAATGCGGCTTCTTCCGTCGCCCTGCAGGTCGTTGGCCCGCACCTGGGTGGGCATGTGCTTCCGGGGAGGGTGTGAGGACAGGGCATGCCATCCAGCCAGGTCCACGAGCGCAATGGCGAGGCCTCAAAGTCGGAGGAGCCCGTCCTGCCACCTGGCCCGTGTGTGCCTGCCCTCCCTCAGCCTCACAGAGAAGCCCAGCGTCAGGCCGCCATGGCAGGGTGGAGGAGCAGGGGCTACAAACCTCTGCTCCTAGTTGGCCTTCTGTACTCCCCCCTGCAAGAACTGGGCACTGGGACACCCTGACTCTATTTTTTTTTTTGGAGAGGTTTTTCTATAGAGCACATGCGCACGCCAGACAGGGAGAAAGAGACAGAAAGTGAGAAGCCACCCCCCAGGGGGGATGGCCACACTGCAATCCCTTCTCTTCCATTCTCCTCTCAGGACCTTGGGCACACACGCACACGCACCTGGCATGACACCCCAACTCTTGATCAGTCTCTAGAACCGGAGGTTGCCGGGGCTTTAACAAGCTGCGTGGTGCTCCTGGGTGGCATCTCTGTGCATAGAACGTGTGGGCAGCACCCCTGGCTAATGTCACCGGGAGGATGCAGGGAGACAGCAGGCCCAGCCGTGTGGGCACCCCAGGTCCACGTCACCGGGAGGATGCAGGGAGACAGCAGGCCCAGCCGTGTGGGTGGCCCAGCACCCACCGACAGCACGGGGTGGCCGCTGACATCTCGGGGAGAGGAGGCCCTGAGAGCTGCCAAGGGACACTATAGCTGGCCGGTCCCTGTGGTCTGAAGCCTCCGGAGGGCCACAGAGGGTAGTGGCTGGAGAATAAAGGGCGGGTAAAGGCTGTCCCATAGTTACCTTCTGCCTCTCTTCGGTATTGTTTATTTAGTTCTTCCATAAGAGAGAGGCAGACCCCCAGCAGGGTCTTGTGCTAAGATCGACCCCCGGCGTCAGCTTACCCCACTGCACAGGGAGGTTCCGGGATGCGAACCCATCACCTTCCCCATGTGGGTCCTGTTGCATTACCACTGTGCCACCACCTGGCTCCTGTCTCTGTCTCTGTCTCTCT